GGGGGGGCACAGGGAGAAAGAGAGAGAAAGAGAGAACGAGAGAAAGAGTAAGAGAGAAAGGTTTGGGAGAGAGAGAAAGGTTGGGGAGAGAGGTGTACAGAGAGAGAAAGAGAAAGAGAGAGAGAGGTTGGAGAGAGAGGGGGAGAGGTGCACAGACAAAGAGGAAGAGAGAGAGATACAGAGAGAGAGTGAAAGAGAAAGGTTTGGGAGAGAGGGGGGAGAGGTGCACACAGAGAAGAAGAGAGATAGATGGATAGAACGAGAGAGAGAGAGAGAGAGAGAGAGATACAGAGAGAGATACAGAGAGAGAGAGACCGCGAAAGGTTGAGGACAGAGAGGAGAGGTGCACAGAAAAAGAGAAAGGTTGTTGAGAGAGAGGTGCACATAGAAAGAGGGAGAGAGGGAGGAGAGGGAAGGAGCGAGAGAGGAAGGGGGGCAAGGGAGAGAAACAGAGGTTTGTAGCAGAGTTGTCACCACTGCCACCGTTCCTGTTCCCAAAAAAATCCACTGGTTGATACCTGGCTCAGACCACCCAGCACTCTTACCTCTTCTTGAATTATTTACCACACAGACCGAGAAGATCTCCTTTTTATTCTCACACACACATACACAATAGAAACAGAGCTTGCTAGGTTTGCATATCTACCCACGGTGCCAGAGTTCCAAAGGATGCGTGGCGTGCCGTTGGCTGACCTGTCGAAATCTACAAGGAAGCAACTGTGATAAAGTAAAGCCAAGAATAATTATGCCCAGTGAGGGTACGACAGCGCTCAGCCAGTCCCTGCTTTTATGCTTATTTTAAAATGTGGGATTAAATTGCATATGACAGTGAAGCAACATACAGCATCGACTTCACTGATATTTAGTCTAATGGTGTTTGTATTACACTTTGTCAGTGTTGGGAAGGTGACTTTTAAAATTTATTCCCCTACAGATTACAGATTACATACACCAAAATGTAGTTTGTAATGTAATCAATTAGATTACTTAAAGTGAGTAACGTAATCTGAATATTTAGGATTACTTGATTATCATCACATAAGATGTTTTATCTGCTAAAAGACAATGAAAAGCCCAGACTTTACTGAACCAAACAGAAAATATTATTGATAGAAGAGAAGGAGACACGGTCCACACAGCATGGTTTAGTCCTGTTAAATCCTGGTTTTAGTCCTGGTTTTAGTCCTGGTTTAGTCCTGTTAAATCCTGGTTTTAGTCCTGGTTTTAGTCATGGTTTAGTCCTGTTAAATCCTGGTTTTATTCCTGGTTTTAGTCCTGGGTTTTAGTCATCCTGGTTTTAGTCCTGGTTTTAGTCCGGGTTTAGTCCTGTTAAATCCTGTTTTAGTCCTGGTTTTAGTCCTGGTTTTAGCCCTGGTTTAGTTCTGGTTTTAGTCCTGGTTTTAGTCCGGGTTTAGTCCTGTTAAATCCTGTTTTAGTCCTGTTTTAGTCCTGGTTTTAGTCCTGGTTTTGACCTGGTTTAGTCCTGGTTTTAGTCCTGGTTTAGTCCTGGTTTAGTCCTGGTGTTAGTCCTGGTTTAGTACTGGTTTAGTCCGGGTTTAGTCCGGGTTTAGACCTGGTTTAGTCCTGGTTTCAGTCCTGGTTTTGACCTGGTTTAGTCCTGGTTTTAGTCCTGGTTTAGTCCTGGTTTAGTCCTGGTTTAGTCCTGGTTAGTCCTGGTTTAGTCCGGGTTTAGACCTGGTTTAGTCCTGGTTTTAGTCCTGGTTTAGTCCCAGTTTTGTCCTTGTTTTAGTCCTGGTTTTAGCCCTGGTTTAGTTCTGGTTTTAGTCATGGTTTTAGTCATGGTTTTAGTCATGGTTTAGTCACGATTTTTGTCCTGGTTTAGACCTGGTTTAGTCCTGGCTTTAGTCCTGGTTTAGTCCTGGTTTAGTCCTGGTTTAGTCCGGGTTTAGTCCGGGTTTAGTCCGGCTTTAGTCCTGGCTTTAGTCCTGGTTTAGTCCTGGTTTAGTCCAGGTTTAGTCCTGGTTTTAGTCCGGGTTTAGTCCTGGTTTTAGTCCGGGTTTAGACCTGGTTTAGTGTCCAGCAATGAGTGGAATTACCGAAAAAAAAAAAAAAAAAAAGCGATCTAGCCCAAAATGTGAAAACAGGAAAATACTGCCGTGTAATCCATTTATTTCAACAAAGTAACTGTAATCCAATTACCACTCTCTGAAACAGTAACTGTAACCGAATACAGTTACTCATAATTTGTACTCTAATTACGTAATGCCGGTACATGTAATCTGTTACTCCCCAACACTGCACTTTGTAGAGTAATCATAGACTGTATAAAGAAGTGGACTAAAGGAGCGTCCAATATTAGGAATAGAAATTTATTCACAGACAAAATAGCTAAATAAAAACACCACGATCATGTAAAGCGGGTTAATACGAACATTTTAAGCCCAAAAAGAGAGGTGACAGTTTTTCAATGTTAGGTTAATTGGAAATGTAGTCAATGGAGCCGGAAGTGCCCCCATTAACACTTCCTGAATGTGGTGGTTGGTAGTTTAACTATGTCCTTATACTGTACAGTCTGTGAGAGTAAGGGATTCTTAAATAAATAAAGATATAGGCGAGATTCATTGTTGACAAAAGCGTGCGTTGCATGCAGGAATTATTTTGGTCGGCGGCAAGAAACACTAATTCAACATGACGGACGAAGCGAGAAAACACGTAAAGGGTATTGATCCCGGTTATTTATCCACTCTAACGGCAGAGGACCCAAGACCATTTGACCAGAAATTGGTCAGAAGCATCGACAGGACGACAAATCACCCTTTTCAACCTCTACAAAAGGTGGACCAAACCAAACTTCTGGTCAGAATCGCCAACTACCTGGACAAATATTCACTTGGGCGATATCCACAATGACTTGGTGGAAACTCCTGGGCCGTTCACAGCAGAAAAGATGAAAACCTCCAAGAGTCTCGATGTGTTGTTGAACTTGTTGGGGTCCACGGTTTGTTAGGATCTTCTACATTGGCTCTGTGGATGTTTGAAAGCCATTTAATTCAGCATTAGTGGTTCTTTTCACTCAGAATACGAAAAAGACATTTTCCTTCTTCTGTGCTTCTATTTGTGCATCCGATAATGCAGCAGGAATTTACCATTATCGGGGATAAATACGCGAGGTTACGCACTGTGTTTGACCGCTACAGTGTTTCTTGCCTCCGACCAAAATATTTCCCAGTATGCAACGCGGGCTTTTAATAACAATGACGTCAGCTGAAACTCACCTATAGAATCTGTATACATAGGAACCCGCCTGCCTTATGGGGACCAAGTTAAGGTTGCCATGTTGTAAATATATTATTATTAAATCAACAATATTGTTTTAAGTTCAGATGTGGGTTAAAATAAGTTACAGTTACTCAAGTAGGAACTATGGTTAAGATCAGGTCAAAAGCAAAGTGAACGTAAGACAATGTCCTCAAATGACATTTAAGCCCATCATACTGATTAAGTGATCTTCATGAAGAACTATTATGTCCGTCTTTGCAATGTTGTTTTGTATTGGATTTGAAGGAGGTCTTATTTTAATGCAAAATCAACTCTTGTCAGCTTTAAGTCATGTTGGGCTGCTATTACCTCCTCAAACACGGACCTGGAGCTGTGTTTTGTTCCATTCACACGTTTGAGTAACTCTTTATTATTAGTCTGTCTACATGTCAATATTTCTAGTGAAGACGTATGGAGTTTACACGGTGGAACCAAACAGAGTGCTTTCTGTTTGAGAGAAGAATTCAGCTTAAATATGCAGGTTTTGTGTGTTAAATATGTGTGAATGAAACACAAACCCCATGTATGTTTGTGATGAGGAAACATAACAGAGCTCAGAAAACAGAAGAATATGGGCCTTTAATTTTAACTGCCCCCATCTGTATAACATTGCTCTATAGAATGTTCTGTCATCTGAAAACCAGCAATAAGTGAATGCAAACATTTTTATACTGTGTTCTGTAGTGATTTGACAAACAAGTTAATCCTCTAAGTCTAAAGAAAACCGCTAAGAGTGTGCTCGTGGATTCTGTTCTATCCCGTGTATACATAAATTGAGAAAAATACTCTAGAAAGGGCATTTGATGTAAAACACATTCCATAATAATTAGCAAATTGCAACACAGATTAGTGTTATAGCAAACATTTGTGCCTGAAAAAAACTAATGAATTTTAACATAACTTTCTGCACTCATCTTTCAGCATCCACCACATTTAGTTTTTGTTTTTGAGTCATTTTACAAAATCAACTCCAGACTTGTGTTTATGAACAGCACTTAGGAGGGGGATCATTATTTAACTTTACAAAATGTGTGTTGTTGTGAGGGATGTGCGCTACAGCTTGTTGTCGTCTAATGCTTGTACTTGTCTGGTACAAAGGCATTTGTTCTGGAGACAGATGAGGACTGTAATCTTATGAGAGATTAAGTATGTGCGGCTGGTGTGTGTGTGCGCGCGCGTGTGTGTGTATGTGTGTGTGAAAGAGAGGGAGGCGCACAGGGAGAAAGGACCAGCAGCTGGATTTGTGGTTCAGGAGCGCCTCTGTGTGGTGGAACAGAGAAGTACTGAAGCAGGGAGGGAAATACTAGGAGATAATCTATGTATGAACCTATGCATTAGAATATGTACATACAGTATATAATAAATATAGACAAATACATATACTATATGTAGGAATCCGTGACTCAGTGAAACTAAATATTGACATAATTTAACTACAGGAAAATATCGTGGCTCAAACTATCCCCTACTAACTATTAGTAAAATGCTCACAAAATGTTTATGTTCATATTTTTCCCAAATTCCTAAATTGAATCTGAGTAAAATGCTCTTGTCTGATAACAAGCTGAACTGAAGGGCTGATTACAAGCTGAAATAATATGAATCATTAAGACTATCAGTTATGAATAAATAAACCATGCCCTTGTAGGTACGTGAAAGGTTAATCATGTCTTGCACTTTTTGAGTTTGCTTTTGGAAATTTCCTCACAAAGAAACTGTAAAAAAGGAGAACATGTATTTTTAATGAAATTAATTATGCCAGGCAAATCAGCAATAATCCTTCCCAATAGAAACTGGAGCTTTGTATGCAGCACAGGAATGGCAAAATAGCACCTATATAAAAACAGTTAGAAACAGGCAGAGGGGGTGGCACAGTAAGCAGTGTGAGAGTGGAGAGATAATGGCAGAGGGGAGCAGGGCAGAGACAGAAAAACACTGAAATATTCTGCTGATTCGCAAAGCAGCACAACGCGACTAGTCAGCCAACAGCCGAGCAGAAATCAGCTCTTTCTATTGGCACCCATGGGAAACTTTCACAGCTTTAAGAGACAAACCCTGCCTCAACCAATCAAAACTAAAAGTTCTCCAGAACACTATTCTGATTGTAAATAAATATGGAGGCTTTAACTGGCATGGCTTAAGGTCATTTTACTACTTTTTTATTGCTAGCAATTGGATGTCAATATAAAATAAAGTTTGTTCAAGAAAATCTTATAAGTTTTTAATTAAATAAGGCTGGAACACAAACAAAATTATTCTGAATCAACTGCACTTTAAAAACAATTCTAGATCAAGTCACTTCCAGAAGATCACACTTATATTTCCAATTAAAAACTAAATAAAACAACAAACTTTGAGCTAAATGAACCTTACTTCCAATGTACATTTTTAACCAGCATAACTCAAATAGTTGGATGCCATGGGAAACCTGACTGATATAATTACTTCAGCAGGGGTTTCTTGTTCTGCAGTGGTTTATCATTTATAAATAAAAAGTCAGAAGGAACAGTTTAATTACAAAAAGGACTCTGTAAAAACTCTGTGCTTTTCATGTCATTAAAACATTAGTGTTATTGAGAAGCAGGGGGGGGAGCTTTAAACAGTCCAATCTTTCTAAAATGGCGAACGATAAGAGGCACTGACACCAGGGTGATGCTGATTCGGACTGGGGCAAACAGCTTGTGAATAGCATAGGCCAAAACAAAGGTGCTGGTCCCGGCGGCCATCTTGGACTGGACCACAGTCTCACTGAAGCCCATTTTGCAGAGCAGAGCAGCCATATCGATTCCACTGTGGACAAACAATAAAAGAACTACATTAGAAGAGTAATGTGCATTTTTGTCCACAAGAGGGAGACATTTCTGAGACGTGTCTCCTATCTTTACAGTTTCAGCCATAAACCACAGAATTCCTCTATATTAACATTTCATTGGATAAAATTCAACATCTGAAACTAAATATCCTTCAACTACTGTAACCTATTGTTAATCTAAGAGTAACAAAACTGTTGTGTTGGAAAGATTCCAAAGCAGTTTCCTCCCCTTTGCCATAAGGATACTGTGACTTTGGATCTTTAATGTTGTGTCTGTCTGTGTTAACAGGGTTGTCAAACATATTGGAAATCAGACACTAATCTGTACTATAACTAGTATCAAAACTAGATACTCATTTAAGAAAGTATTGATGCTGGGGGAAAAAAAAGATTGCAACTGGATAAAATGAGATCTTTCCTGAGCAGTTTTCATCTTCATTTGGGTGTTAAAATCAGTAGAGTATTGAGTCTATTCATTAGTATCAAGTTTTTTTGGTTTTTTTTAGTGGCAACACTAGTCATTAATTAAAACGTTTAAAAGATTATTCTGATTCTTGCTGTATTTCCTGCTAACTCTGATTGAAGTTACTACCGGTACAAACAATCTTCAGACAGCAAATTGAACTGTTGGATAAATATCAGAATGGAACCAAAAGGTCAAAAAATAGCAAGGCCATTATGAATTAAAAGTCTATAAAAATCTGTCAATGTTAGCTCCTCAAATCAATAAAGGGACCATTGCCCATATTATCAGCTTAAGTGCCAATAAGCAGACTCAGCTAAATGCAAAAGCAGTCAGCTAAATATAATGCTCCATCTGCAGGAGGACAACTGTTAAGCTAGCACAGAGGCGTTTAGTGGGCCACATGTCGGGGCTCTGTGGCAAACTGGTGATAATGCGTATGGTTGGACACTGCAGAGTCAGGCTTTGGTTCTGGGGTCATTATCAGCTATAAGAGAAAGCTGTCACATGGTGCGTGCCAAGTCCCTGTGGTTGGGAAGGTTTGGCACAGGGCCCACAGAAAAGGGGCTGAGAACTGTATGTCCTACTGTCACTGCCAGAGCCAATCACATGCAGGGAGTGTATGGCCTTTCACAGCCTGTTCCACTGAAAGGAGCAATGCAAATATAGTCATTGTGGTGAACATAAGTGATTGATAGTTACATGAAAATGTATTTAAAGTGATAAGTTAGACCCCTCAAAAATGTGATGGTGCAGCTCAAGGGGCATTCGAAATGGCAAGGAGCTTGAGAGGAACAGAGCTCAACAGTGAGCGCCAACATGCCGTTCAAAACTCCCATTCATTTTTCTCATATTTTCTGAAAAACGTATTAAACGTTCGAAAGCTTCCTCTGGGACAGGGGTCGGCAACCCGCGGCTCCGGAGCCGCATGCGGCTCTTTAGCACTCCCCTAGTGGCTCCCTGGAGCTTTTTCAAAAATGAGTGAAAATGGAAAAGGAATGATTTTGTTGGTTGTTGTTTTAATCCGGTTTCTTTAGGGGTAAAACCCTCATTCATCTCTGGTCATGGATCTGATCCATCACCTGTGTGCAAATGCAAACACATGAAAAGTGTTTCAACCGAACAAATAGATGAGCTAAAACTCCGTTTATCTCAGTTTACACGCAAACGTGAAACTGAAGTTTTCCAAAATCTCCACTCTAGCCAGAGTTTTTAGAAAGACTCGTTTTCAGACACGAATTCACCGTTTGCGTGTAAATGATGTCTCCGTTTTTAAAAATACCCGTGTATGTGTAAACAGGTCGCAAAAGGGGTTTGTGTAATCATGAATGCTCATTTTGTATTTGTAGCCTACTTAGTCATTTTAATAGTAGACTTATACAGCTCATATACTGACAGCCCATGTTGTCTTCATATTAGGCTTATATAAGGCTTTTAATTTTTTGCGGCTCCAGGCAGGTATGTTTTTTGTTTTTTTTGGGCCAATATGGCTCTTTGAACATTTTGGGCTGCCGAACCCTGCTCTGGGATAATCTGCTGTGTGTTAACTAATTTAAAATCTGTTTCTGAAACTTTATAAACCACCAAGTTATTAAATATTTTGCAGAATCTTACATTTTCGCCTTTTTTTTCAACTTAAAACAACCGCATTATGAATATTAGTTACCACTTCGCTGCTTAGCTACCGCACTGTCTTTGAACTCTTAATATTTGCATTTTTCAAGAAGCTTATGGGAAAAATGTATGTAAAATTTACTGGAACCAGAGCAGGCTGTCACAGTTGACTGTATAAGTCTGAGCCATGTTTGACAATTAGAAGGCTAACATCACACTTAAATATCTTTACGTGGCAAACTAAGTTAAAAAGGCAGACAAGGAAATCAAATCATTTAGTGGTTGTAATGTGCAACTGCATCAGTATTTTTCAAGCACTTTAAATTTCTCTGTGTTCTAATAATACTAAATAAGAATATCCGCCTTGTCTAAATGATATTTGTACGTAAAACATACCAAATGTGTTTTCTTGTTATTTCAATTTACAGAATTTACTTAGAATGATGGTGATGGTGTTTTACCTGGACACGAGGAGGTAGAACATGCCCAGAGACATGAGGGACATGCAGATGTGGAAGGACACACCCACAGCACCGTACTCTTTGAAGACTTTCTTTAGCTGTTGGGTTTTGTTGGGTTTTCCTCCCTCTGGAGCTGGTGGAGAACTGTCAGGAGGTGGAGAGGGGTTCTTCAAAGTCTCATCCTGGACATGAACACAAACGTGAGGAAGGAGTCTGTGTAAGTATCAGGCAGTAGACTATTAATGGGAACTTTTGAACAGTGCTCATCTGGTTTGATCATGGTAGCTTATTTTATCCTCACCACTTGACTTGTTTGGTGCACGGATATTCCCACCACAATTCCTCTTTACATTGACCTACTGTATATTCTTTGGACTCATGAGACCTACCAGTTTCAAGATGCATAATATGTTCAAGATGCATAATATGGTTTTCTACATATTCACAAGTTATTATCTATCATTAGTTGCAAGTGGTGTTCATTTGCCATTCAGCAAGCGCACTAAAAGTAATACTTAATTTATATTTCTGCAGATTGTTTTTTTGGTGGGAAATTCACAATTTTCATGCATTGTGGGCAATTATTAAGAAATGTTTTTCTGTGTGTGTTGTGTTTCTGGAACACAAGACTAATTGCAATTACATTTTTATATTTGCATTTACAAAATCATTAAGACTGTTCTCAAGTATTATAATTTGGCATTTACACTGCAAGTTTGAACAGCAAGTTAACCATTCTGAAACTTGAAATTTGCCTTATCTTAAGCACAGTGACAAGTGCCGTTTAAAATTTTACCATAGGGAGAATACATATTCATTTATGTATTTATTTATTTTAAAAAAACTTGACTATAATGGATTTTTATCAGTGTCAATGAGATATACAAAAACAAGCTGTTATCAGAGCTTGATGAAGAGCACTAGTCTGTGGACCACAATGGTGCTCTCACACATGGACAGTGGTGACCTTTCGGGACGACAGCAGAGACAGATAAATACAATGAAAGCCATCACAGCCAGAGCTGCTCCACACTGTACAGTAGAGGTTTAACACAGCTGTAACTGCAGTACAGACAAAAGGACAGAGACTGTACATCCTGAGGGCAGCAGCTTCAACGGAAAAGACTCTTGTGTAAATGAACTTAGTCAATAGTCAAAGAATTTGTGGTGGATTTTCATAGGTGCACCAAACAATGACACAAACTACAAAACATGCCCATAAATGTGAATAAAACCATAAGAAGTAAGTTATAAAATGCCAGTCTGTTAGGGGAGTTAACATAAAAAGCAGCCTGCTGTTTTTCTACATTTAACCTAATATTTTTGATTGATTGGTGTTTGATTTGACAAAAGAATTTAATGGACCAATTGTTGATAAATACATTTTGGCTATAATATTCCACAGTTATGGCATAAAACATCTCCATCCATTTAGAATGTTCCATAGTATGGTTTTAACGTTCTATTTTATGCAGCTGATGTGACACCTCCAGAAAGTTAAGAATGTGCTTTTCATGACTTTCCCCTTTTCAAGCACATCTCCCTTGTGCATCTGAGACACAGTTACTAAAGTGAGCCAACACACAAAAGACAAACGAGGGAAAAACAGCAGAAACAAATTATGTCTCACTTAAATTTCGCGCTCTCTCCCTGAATGAAACATAAACACTGATGTGGTCACGGGTTGCCAACAATGGACAATAGAGAGCCAGAGAGGGCCAGGGACATCCAGAGTGGGCGAGGGGGCTCACCCCGCTGCTCTGAGGCGGGATAGTTCTAGTCTAGTATAAGCAGCAGGCAGCAGTATGGGAGGGTCATGTGAGGGAGAAGGACCAGGGAGGGTGCATAGAGAACAGAGGCACTGCTGTGTCTGATAACAGCTTTTCACTGCAATGAAAACACATGTGAAACACAGAAAAAGTCACATGTAAAGTCAGAGTGATACTCAAAAGGCAGAAGAACAATTAGGATACATGGGCATAAGTGTCATAGTCTAAGTGCCATAGGCTTCTAAAGGTCCTGATATCACTGTCATATTTCAAAAGACAAAAGTATGATGACAAAGATCAGGATATAGATTTAGGAGCTTATATTTCCATATTTAGTCCTTAAGTATTTTGAAACTTACTACATGATGGCATCATGTTTGGTCACAACAGCACAAAAAGGTCAATTTCCAGATATTTCTAATATTCCCTCTTGGCTCTGTGACTGTGCAGAGCTACAGTGTAAATGTTTGTTTATACCCACAGGGTTTAACAGGGTTAACAACAGGAATGAACCATGATGTAAATGCATGAGGAAACGTGAGGAAACTGGGATGAGTCAGCACAAACTGAATGACATATGACACGAGGTCTGCTGATAATCTGATGTTATTTGATATAGGATACGGAAGCAATTTGTTGTTATGGAAACAGAAAATAAAACTAAAGCTGGATCTTGCTCCTTAGTTTCTCCGGGCATGTTGCCCCAAAACTACAGTTTTTACAAAAAAAAACAATCTTACAATAAAGGCTCGTGTATTGTGTGTTTGGCATAAGAGGTCGACATATGCATGACATATTTCCAGCCTACTCTACGAGTACGTTTCATGCATTATTGATGACGCAAAAACTAGACCTAAAGGTGGCGCAACACCAGTTGCACATGACCACTTTATGGGCACACGCTGAAGTGAGTCTTTGCGCCCTTTTGACTTCACTATGGGGAAAGGTAAACACAGAAGTTGAATGGTTTCATTTACCCCTTTGTCGCTCTCTCTCGGCTGCTCCTCGTTGGCCTCGCGTTGCTTTGCGGCTGAAGCAGTGGAAGAAGCTCGGGTCTGCATGGTTCCGGAGGAGCAATGCCGATTAAAAAGCCCTGGAAAACACACATTACCGACGACCCTGTTCCTGATAACGTGAACCCCGTAATGTGAGCTGGGCTGAGACGTAAAGATATGTCCTCTCACGCCTCGACTGTGTACACTAGAAAGAGACGTAGCAATTGTAGCTATTCTGTCCCAGTGCTGCCAGTCTGATACGAAACCACACGACGTGTCCCACTTTTGGGTCAAATATATGTCCTGTTCTTGTCCTTTCGCGTGGTTTACATTAGTTACGTGTCCGCTGAACGCAGTTCGACACAAAGCCCTGTTCGTGTGCACCTTGTGTAATGTCAAAGTGACGTTTCTCAGTTTATTTGCTGGGACATCAAATGGAGACGGTCCATGCGCTATCAAAGTCTTTCCCCATGTCTTAGCCAGACGACACAGCATCTTCCCCCAAAGGCCTCGGTAATGTATCTAGGAAATCGTGAAAGGAAATGCTGTAGCTAAAAGCTGTAATTAGCAGTGTAGATGGCAGTAAACATGTTGCCCTGCGCCCACTGGGCTCTCGGTCCTCGCGCTGACCGATTAGCGCCAGGAGCCAATGAGCGGCAGCGCGCAACCGCACTTTGTCTTTACGCGCAGAGCGGGAGGGGCCATTTAAAGGTGTAACACTAGTGAACAGGGTAAACATTGACAAAGTAAATTACAGGGTTTATTATGAGTTCATGAAGACAACTTTTCATTTCCTAATGGCCCCCATCTCCATTAAATTGTGTGCTACTGTAGGCTATGGTGGAAATGATGTCTTATAGTTTACAACTGCCATTCTAACTGCATCACATACACTTTTGAAAACATGTATATATATGTATATGTATATGTGTGGAGATGTGGCTGTATATATGTGTATATGTGGATGTGTTAATGTGTATATATATGTACGTATATGTAGGTATATGTTGATAGGAATGTATGTATGTAGATGCTTACATATGTGTATGTGTATATATGTGTGTCTATGTAATAAAAAAAAAAAAAAAAAAAAAAAAGAAAACATTTAAGATTTAAAGAACTGCTCTAGTTTATGTTGGTGTAAGTTGCTCAGCTTCTCTGGGGTTTTCATGTGTGACTGTTATCTGTTTTGCTTCTGATAAGGCAGTTTGGTCAGTGCCAACTCCCAACTAGACTGTAACCAAATAGTTGCACTGTGACCAGACAAGCTGCCTCATAGGAACAAACGAATATATTCCCTCAGTCCCTCTTTCACTTCCTCTACCATGTGTTTAATGTGAAAAGAATATGGAAGTGGTGGCTACTGGCACAAAACACTTGTGGTGTGAACTCATTTATTTGTTCAAATTCTAAGAAGTGGATTTGAAACTTGAATAGTTTGTAGCCTTAACTAGTCTTGAAAAAATGTATATGATTTGTGAATAACATTTGCACACAAATCAATGGTTTCTAGCCATAGAAAACTGAACTTCTCTTGACAAAGACTCATGAAACGTGGCCTGCTCTAGCACATTTTGTCAATCTAACTTGAAACTGGAATCAGGATTTATTCAACATAAGAGGAATCAGACATTCAAATGTTGGCATATAAACCATAATTTCAAGATATAAGAACAACTTCCTCTTCTAACATTCTTTGAAACTTTGGAAAGGCAGAAGGATGAAGTGAAATTGTGGTTAATGTCTTTTATAAATTGTTTCATAACTGCTGAATCATGGGCCCTCTGCTCCTTTCAGTAAAAGATTAGGATAGATCTGAGAAATGAGTTTATATTACTCCCACTGATTCCTTATTAAGGTTATACTTATATTCTATAGCAGACCTGGGCATTTGTGTGAAGATAACAGAGATATTAACACAAAGAAACTCAGAAGGCAGAATTCGGGGTTTTTACTCGTGGCGAGGGACAGAGGCGCTGCTACAGCTCTTAACTGCCGAAGAACCACCGTCCAACCGTTATTTACTGAATCACACAGGTTACAAGAATAAATGGGTGGTTACATTTTTCTATCACAGTTAAAAAAACACAGAGAATAAAGGTGTGTAGTGTGTGTGTGTGTGTGTGTGTGTGTGTGTGTGTGTGTGTGTGTGTGTGTGTGTGTGTGTGTGTGTGTGTGTGTGTGTGTGTGTGTGTGTGTGTGTGTGTGTGTGTGCCAGCTGCTGAGGTGTAAAGGAGGGATGTGCTTAGGGAGGACTGTCCTTGGGGAAGATAACAGTTAATGAGAAGTTGGTTTTCCTGTGAGAAATACCCTTTGATAAAATAAGACAAAGAATCATCTATATAAAGTTTGAAAAACTCTTTACTCTACTTTCCCCGAGCCACATATGTCCCTTTGGTTGACTGTGACCAGCTTATTTAAACTAATTTGGAATTTCAAAATAAACATATTTTATAATTTTACCTCATGCATGGACTAAAGCTGCATTCCTTTTATTAAAATTTTTGTAAGGTATCCTCACTTTTTCATTGCTTAGTCATAACATATACTCTTATCAGTCTTACCAGCTTGTCTTAACAATGCTTTTTACTGCTTTGTATAAATAATTACAATTAATATTATGCAGAACTGAGTCAAGCATTTTGGCCTGGCCCTCCACAATATATTCTATAGGCTACTCACAGTGGTGGAATAAGTACTCAATGTTGTTATGTAAAAGTAAAGATACTGGAGCAACCAAGTACTCAAGTAAAGGTAAATGTATCACATGAAAGTAAATCTGCTTAAGTAAAAGTATTTAAGTATCATTTTAAAATGTACTTAGAGAGCAATAGTATATGTATTTCAGATACTGTAAGGTCTGATGAAGCTTCAAATAAATTGATTTTAATACAGATTTTTTTGTGCATTTTGTTCAGTAAAAACAATTGAATCATTCTTAGCTGTTTTAATTTGTATATTTTTGTTGTTCAAACAATGAACTTGATAAAGATTAACCCTCAACTTTTTCAGATCAATAAAAATACTTTTACTTTTTAGTATAGTTCAAAAATGTACCTGTAGTGAAGTAGAAAGTACAGATACCCAGTGATGTAAAAGTAAAATGTATTTAAGTGAAGTATAGACACCTAAAATATTTACTTAAGTACAGTACTTTACTATTTTTACTTTGTTACGTCCACCACTGGCTACTCATAGAAAGTGTCATGAGTGTCAGTCTGTTTTAATTTTCACTGTAGTGCAGTGACTGATCTTATTTTACTCAGACATTAACCCATCCAATTGCTGTGTGGTTTGACGTTAATAGTTACTTACCTATGGTTAACAAAGGTTGAGTATTTTGAAGTAAATGTAACAAAATATGATAGTAGTTTAGTTTACTGCGTCCAGTCTCAGTTCATCCTCGTCCTACTTGATGTTAAATCAGGGGAAGATACAAGGGTTTCTCATGGCCTGGATGTTCTGAGCCATCTTGTTCTCTTCCATCAGTGTTTACACGTCCACAGCTTTGTTCCTCTCTCTGCAAAACACGCTGCTCTCCTTTATGTGAGTTCCTCTGGCATCAATCCATGTTCCTCTGTCCTTCTTTGTGCTTTCTGGCAGAGTAGTTAACGCTCCTATCCTTTGGCATCCTTAAGTCCTGGGACTTGAGCCAGTTGGATAAAGTATGGCTGAAACGCAAAACAAGACTTTGTAATTGTCCAAAGAAGCACAGCTTGCATTGAAACTATTTTTCATGTATAATCTAAAAGTCAAAAAGTCAGTAATGGTGGATGGACACTATAGTGAAAGCTATCAGCAAATACAGTCCCTGACAAAAGTCTTGTCGCTTATCCATTTTGTAGAAACAAAAGCTTATAACCTGACTTTAAATTAATCGATTGGTTTTAGAAATGTCTCATATGAAGCTAAAACCCTCCCAAATTATGCTCAATATACTAAAATAAATTTGCTTCACTGAAGAAAGATTGATCATTTAATGAACACAGAAAGGTCAGATTTTGGAAAGACAAAAGTCTTGTGGCCTTGTCATATGATGCACCCAATCCTAGATTACAGCCTCACCTGTGATCAGTTACTGATCAATCAATTAGTGGGTGTGTATAAAAAGAACCCCAGCACACCAGACCTTCACATCAACTGCAACTTGACCTCTGACAACATGCCTAAGATCCACCCTGAGACCAAAGCGTTAATTATCAAGAGGCTGAAGACCAGATCCACTGCTGAGGTGGTGACACCTTCAATGTGTCTCAGCATCAAGTACAAACAATAAGAAAAAGATCTGAAATGACTGGAGATGTTTTGACAAGCCCAGGTCCGGCAGACCCCGCAAGACAACTGCTCGGGAGGACCGTTTGTTGAGTCAAAAATCCAAGGCCCCTTTTCCACTGCAGCAGAGCTCCACCAGACCTGGTCACCTCAAGTCCCTGTGTCAACCACAACAGTTTGTAGAATTCAGTCTCGAAATGGCCTCCATGGTCGAATCAGTGCACAGAAACCAGCACTAAACAAAAGGCAATTAAAAAAGCGTGTGGCATTTGCCAAGGCCCACAGCCTGATAAAAGGATGGACACTGGAAAAGTGGCAGAAGGTGGATTTCTCAGATGAATCCTCGGTTGAATTACATCACAGCCGCTGCAAATATTGCAGGAGACCTACTGGAGCCGCATGGATCCAAGATTCACCCAGAAAACAGTTAAGTTTGGTGGTGGAAAAATCATGGTCTGGGGTTCCATCCAGTATGGGGGTGAGACATTTGCAGGGTGGAAGGCAATATCAATATCCTAAAATATCAAGAAGTATTAGCTCCTCTTTCATTCCCAACCATAAAAGGGGTCAAATTTTGCAGCAGGATGGTGCTCCATCGCATACTTCTATCTCTACATCAAAGTTTCTCAAGGTGAAGAAGATCAAGGTGCTCCAGGACTGGCCAGCCCAGTCACCAGACATGAACATCATTGAGCATGTCTGGGGTAGAATGAAAGAGGAAGCATGGAAGGCAAAACCAAAGAATCTTGATGAACTCTGGGAGGCATGTAAGACGCTTTCTTTGCTATTCCTGATGACTTCATCAACAAATTGTATGAAATTATTGTCAAACTGTATGGATGCATCCTTCAAGCTCATGGAGTCATACAAGATATTAAATATGGATCTCACAGCACCACTACTTAATTCACTGACATTATGCAACATATTTTTGTATTTGAAGTAAATTATTTGTTCAGTTTTCTGTAGGCGACAAGACTTTTGTCTTGCCAAAATCTGACCTTTCTGTGTTCATTAAATGATCAATCTGTCTTCAGTGAAGCAAATTTATTTTAGTATATTGAGCATAATTTGGGAGGGTTTTAGCTTTCATATGAGACATTTCTAAAACCAATCGATTAATTTAAAGTCAGGTTATAAGCTTTTGTTTCTACAAAATGGATAAGTGACAGGACTTTTGTCAGGGACTGCACATGGGCAAAGAAGATTTCTCCCTTATTGTACAGTTTAGATAAGATGAAGCAATCACATACAGTATATAGTATGTAACTGATACACATTCAAATAAGTTGTGTAACTATGTAGGCCACAGGACTGTTTTTGATTATTTATTATTATCCTATTATGATTTATTTATGTATTTATTTATTTATTTTGCATGCACGC